AAGTCCCTCTCCAGCTCTCTTGGAGCCCCTTTAGCCACAGCTTCTCTGGGCAACCTGTGCCAGGGCCTCCCCACCCTCACAGCCAACAATTCCTTCCCAATATCCCATCTTAAACCAATACTTAAACCTAATAACCAATCTGAAGAAAGCTCCAGCTGAGCTTTGGCAGCAACTTCTCCCTCCTCTGTTGTGCTCCAGAAACTCATGGCCGAGGCAGGCCCCCAGGTCCTCCTGGAGAGGTCCCTCAGGGAGCAGTCCCTGCTCGAGCAGAGGGAGAACCTCGAGAACCTCCAGCAAAAGACAGAGACCGAGAGGCAGCTGAGAGAGGTGACCCGGGGGCCCGGGGCTGTGGGGAGGTGCCAGCCAGCGGTGCTGAGCCCCCCGGGGTGGGGCTGCAGGGGCAGCTGCCCCGGTGGCAGCGGAGGGTGACAGTGACTGTCCTCGCAGCAAGCGGCGTCCCTGCTCTCCGCCGACCAAGCCCAGAGCTCCTCGGACGCCATGGGGGGTGAGTGCAGGGCCGGGAGCAGGGCTGGGCTGGGGGCACTGCCGCTGGCACATCCTGCCCTGCCGCTGCCCTCCCGCCCCAGGGGCCGACGCGGAGGCCGCCATGACCCAGCTGGAGCACGAGGCCTTTGTGAACGACAAGATGGAGATGGCCAAGGCTGCCCTGCAGTGCTCCAACATCTGGGTAATGGAAATGACCTCTCTCTGGTCAAACCTGGGGCTGAGACCCCTCTGCTGCCCTGCTCTCACTGTGGGGTTTATCTGCTCTCCCCTCCCTGGAGCCCCCCAAAGTGTCTCCTTGTGTGGGCAGACATGGGGCTGCCCTTCTCCATGGCACGGGATTGTGGCTGTGACCCCCCCGAGGTGCCCCCAGCAGGAGCACCATGGGCAGAGCCCTCCTGCTCTCCCCTGGCCAGGACATCCCGGGCAGCCTCCTGGCACAGCTGAAGTCCCTGGAGGACCTGGAGCAGCACATCCAGGAGTGCAAGGAGAACAAGCAGGTGCTGAGGCAGATGCTGAAGGAGCTGGAGTTGAAGCAGGCGAGGCTGAAGTTTCACCAGCCCCTCGGCACAACCAGGTGCTGCTGGCCTTGGGGCAGTCGTGCCAACCAGGGCACCATCCTTGGGGGGGACATGTCCCAACAGGCACCCCGACCTCCATTCCACTGCAGCCACCCACCCCTCCTGCACCAGGGGGGTTCCTGAGCAGGGTGATCCCCTGGCTCTGCTCCTGGCAGAGCACCCAAAGCTCCCACTGTGGCCCTGGGGGCACCCTCGCTCCTTGCCTGGCACGGGAAGTGGTGCCAGCAGCACGGAGTTGGGTTGAATGCAGCATTTTTGCTCTGCAGTTGCAGGGGGACCTGAGCAGCTTTTGCAACAAATTTGGGGTGTCTGCAGCAGGTCTGGGGTGTCTGCAGCAGATTTGGGGGATCTGCAGCAGGTGTGGGGTGTCTGCAGCAGGTGTGGGGTGTTTGCAGCAGATTTGGGGTGTCTGCAGCAGGTTTGGGGTGTCTGCAGCAGGTGTGGGGTGTCTGCAGCAGATTTGGGGTGTCTGCAGCAGGTCTGAGGTGTCTGCAGCAGGTGTGGGGTGTCTGCAGCAGGTGTGGGGTGCCCCTGCCCCCCGGGCAGTTGTGTGACCCGTTGTTGGCTCCAGCCTGCGGGAGGAGGAGCTGAGGGAGAACCTGCAGCGGGAGGAGTCCCGGCTGGAGCAGCTGCAGGCGCAGATGAGGAGGAACCAGGAGCAGCTGATCGAGTTTGAGAACAGCATCGACAACCTCTTCGTCCACCTCCACAGCATCACCATGCCCGACCAGGTGCCCGGGTGGCCCCAGTGGGGCGGGACAGGGTGACCCCTGGTGCAGCCACCACCACCACGAGGGGCTCGCTCTCCCCACCAAGGCGGTTGTTCTCCCTCTCCCTCCCTCCAGGGGGACTCTCCCCGGCCCGTGGGGTTGGAGGAGAAGCTCAAGCAGTGTGAGGAGAAGCTGCATTACCTGAAGCAGAGGGTGTCCGACCGCCCCCCCAGCGCCCAGACCTACGACAAGCACAGTGAGGTCCGTCCCTGATGTACCTTTGGGGACCCACTCAGGGCTCTCACTGCCCATCCAAGTCATCCTTCCTCACCCAGAGCGTGGAGGTGGCCACAGGGAAGAGCCACGGAGCAGCTGAGCCCCAGATGGCTCTGGGAGCTGTGGGGTGTCCCCACACCAGCGAGGTGGGGCACCCCCTGGGCTCTAACACCCACCTTCCCATCAGCACTTATCCCAGCGTGTCTC